GATTCTTACCTGGCCCTGGTTGGCTAGCTCAGTACCCATGTGTGGGCAATATGTTGTTACTGGCTCTATATAAAGAGCTCTGCCCAGTACTCTGGGCAACACGGTGGCACAGCCACAAGGCTGCAGGAGAGCATAGGCTGGAGTGGTGGCAGTGCCAAGGACAGAGACTGAGAAATTGTGTTAAAAGATATCAATTTAACTGTCTCCCCTAGTAAACTAAGCTTTACAGTGGAAGGGACTGCCTTGTGAATTGTCTGGAACATATCAGGCCTTCAGCAAATATTTATTGGTTGGAGAGATGAGTGGATGCTTTGGCGTAGATCTCTCTCTCTCTCTCTCTCTCCCATTTCCCTTATTTACTTGATTTGAACCAGCAGGCCACCTCTTAGTAGGGCCAAATGGGGAAGGTGCTGTTCATGAAGTTCCTAGGAAGTGTCCAGTCTTAACCAAGTCCTGAGGGCTCTGCAGGAAGATGCTCTGCAGCTTCCATGCTGGTCCAGAGGGACGTCTGTACAAAGATGAAGCGTCTCTCAGCACAGGTAATGGCTGCTCCCAAACTCTTCAGAGATCACCCCTACAGCTCAGATTGCACTGCATCTGTCTGTGTTATCAGCATTTCAAATATTTCAAAGTGCATCCAAGCATTCCGTTGCTGAGGGGGAACAATTAGAAATCAAGCCCAAGAAAACTTCTCAAGGGGCAGAGAACTGGCTGGAATAGGTGCTTCCTGAGCTTGAATGGGGTTCAGCTGCATAACCTTCATTAACAATGCATTGTATATCAATGGGCCCCATGTCATGCCCTGCCACTCTGTGCATTCACCCACCAAAATTCAATCCCTGGGCCATCCAAGCATGCCTAGGGAAGCCCTGTTGCACCCAGAGCTTTCTGCGCTTGGAGACAGGGTGGGCCATGCCAAGGCAGGAGCTTCTGTTATTTTGAGTCCTTTCCTGCCTATTTTCTCCAGGAGTGCTGACTTCAGTGAGTGGCCCAGCCATTCTCACAACATGTTGGCACATGCAGTGTGATCCCCAGATGCTCCTTGGAAAGGATTGGACAACCTAAATTCACTGAGGTCCCAGGGATTTTGATGGCACTTCTCCTACTGTCATTCACCCAGTGGCTGTCTGTCGCTGTGCTTGGAACAAATCAAAGGTGCATTGTGTGCTGTCCCTAGATGCTGGTTTATTGAGTGTCCTGCCAAGTTTTTCTGCTGGGGACAGCTGTGAAACCAGGGGCCAGATGGTCAGTGTCCATGTGACAGGCTCCCCTGGGTACGGGTCCTTGTTTCTGAGGGCCCAACCAGGCCCATGGACAGTGCAGATTACAAATTGCTGGGAAACCACAAAGCATGTTCCAACTTGGGGGAACAGAGAGGCTCAGGATGAAATGTAAACAATACATAACTAAAAATAATTTTTAAATATGCTGCTGCTTGTTGAACTCTCAGATTGCATCAGGGCATCTGAAGCAATGGCTCCTTGTGGAGCTTTGTGACTGGCCCTGAGGTCAGACACTGTACTGAGAGCTTCGTTAGGGTGATTTACTCTGCAACCTGGAGGATTTTTAATCCTCATTTAACAGATAAGATTGCTGGAGCTCAGCCAGGTGAGTCGAACGTGCCAGGGCCAGTTCAGATACGTCAGTGCCAGAATGCCTGGCTTCCAACCAGCTTGGCTGCTCCTAGGTGATAGCTCTCGTTTCTTACCTTCTCTGTGCCTCAGTTTCCTCATCTGCAAAAGGGACACACAAATGATAATAGTACCAACCTTCCTGAATTCCTCTGAGGAATAAAGCAGTTAAAAGTGTAAGGTGCTTTTGACAGTAGGGAGCCAGGAAGTGTGGACGAAGATTGTCTGAGAATGGAGGCCAGTTTAAGGTAAGTGAGATCCTGCAGGCTTTACCTCCTGTCCTGGGAAACAAGCCCTGTGCAGTTCAGGTGAGATGTGCTTACCTTCGCTCCACAGGTGGCAGAGACTGACTCCAGGAGGGTGGGCAACCCAGACTTGGGCACCTCACAGAGCAGGGCTATCTGTATGGGAGGGCTGCAGCCAGCAGACCCAAGGAGACACAAAGGAGACACAAAGGAGACACCACAGTCCCTCTGTCTTCGGGAGAATGCGGCCCTCTAAGGAAGGCCATGCCATTTTTCTTCTCGTTACATCTCCAGAGCAATGGCGAGGGAGTCACAGCTTGGGCCCAGTTGTCTGAGGCACTGGAGGGCTCTGGCCACCCTCTGAGTCACCCCTACTAAGTCTGCTGACTCTAAAGGGCAGGGCTGGTACAGCAGGACTGAGAGAGGTGGCCGCAGGCCCTGCTAGCAGGGGTGGGGGCCTCTCTGGTCACAGCAGCTCTTGGGGGACAATGGGTAGGAGAGGACTGTCAGTCTCCCCACTGCTCCCATGATAGGGAGACCCAGGGAGAATGCCGGCTTCAATGCAGGGCCTGGGGGCTTTCAGAGCCTCTCTAGCACTTAATTTCTTCCCACATACCCCTGCCCCTCCAGAACCCTGGTCAGCAGCGGGGACTTTTTGGCTTCTCCAAAAAAGTGACTTCAGAGAGGGCAGAAAAGAATGGGGAGGAAGGAATGCCACACTTGTGGACATAGATGGGGGTGGGGAGGAAATACAAAATGAGCTATCAGGCCATGAAAAAACAGGCAGGTTGCTAAGTGAATAAGCCAGTCTCAAAAGGCTACAGACTGTATGATTCTATCTGTAGGATATTCTGGACAAGGCAAAACAATGGAGACAGTAGCCCAGTGTTTGCCAGGGGTAGTGGGGAGATGAACAGGCAGAGCACAGAGCATTCTTAGATCAGAGAAATTATTCAGTATATTATTGTAACATGGGTATATGTTAAAACCCATGGAATTCATAAAGTGTGAGCCCTAATGTAATCTATGGACTTCAGTTAATAATAGTGTAGCAATATTGATTCATCAACAGTAACAAACGTACCACACTAATGTTAAGATGTTATAAATAGGGAAAATCATACAAGGGAGGAGGTGAGGTACGGGACCTCCTGTGGGTTTCTGCTCAAGTTTCCCATAAACCTACAAATGCTTTTAAAGTTTACTAATTAAAGAAAATGAAAACAAGAATACGAAGAAAACCCAAACCAAACCGTCCAAAAAAGCAAAACCCAAGAGGGCTGGGGCTAAACAAGAGCAGCTGCCCCAGCAGACATGCTTCCTGAGCAGCTGCTGGATGTTAAAAGCAAAAAACCTGACACCACTCTGCATACGAGGAGTGGCTGCTGCAATTCAGCTCCACAGCGTCTGGCTCAAGCTGAATGACCTTCACAAAGGTCATTTCACTGGATTTCTTTTACCCTCATCATGTGTAAAAAGCCTTTTCTTTCCATAGTTTTGGTGCAAAAGCCAATGTGGCTAACAGGATTTGGGGCATCTGGCTGGGGAATGCAGGCAGAGGTCTTCACCTTAGATGGGGCACCAGAGGAGGTCTGCTTACAGCAAGTGCCTTTCCCACCTGCCTGACTTTTCATTGCAGTTGGGCTGCTTCCGGTGTGGCCTCGGCCTTTTGCAAGCTGCCAGAGGCAAAGTCTGAGCCCAGGGGGCAGGTGCTGCTCAGCCTCCCATGGGAGCAATGCCCCTGAGTGGGCATGGCTGATGCCACATGCCCCTGAGGAGGGCTTCCTTCCTGTGCCCATGACCAGGTGGCCCAAATGATAGCCTTTGGTAGAAAATGGGCCCCTTTGCTGCCCACCTGGCCCCACAACCAAGTCACCCAGTTTACACTGTATGGTGATGGCAGGTTCTGGGTACTAGTCTACACTGGGTGCCCAGTGTGGAAAGCTGGAAAATTCCAGCTGATCCAGGCTTGTGACGCACACATTCACTGTCAGTGTTGACACCCCGTGTGGATAAAGTGAAGGTTCTTGTGGCCAGGATTCTTACCTGGCCCTGGTTGGCTAGCTCAGTACCCATGTGTGGGCAATATGTTGTTACTGGCTCTATATAAAGAGCTCTGCCCAGTACTCTGGGCAACACGGTGGCACAGCCACAAGGCTGCAGGAGAGCATAGGCTGGAGTGGTGGCAGTGCCAAGGACAGAGACTGAGATGGCTGCAGGGGCAGAGAAGCCCAGAGGCAGAGACCGGCGTGCTGCATGCAGACTCGCTCTGAGTGGACGGGAATCTAGTGACTGACCTGCCACTGTGGGAATAAAGTTGGGTATAAACCCTTTCACCTCAAGAACGTTCCACTGTCATTTCTTTGGTCACATTGCATCCATAGTGAATTTGTCCCGGGCTGAAACTCACTGGCAAGACACCCTGGCAAACAGAGTTGACATGTGGGCATGGCCTGTGGACTGAGTTTGGATCTCATTTATTTTCCTACTGGTTGTGTCACCTTTAGGGGGTTACATGCTCTCTAAGCCTCAGTTTCTTTGGCTGTGAAATGGGTGTTATAATCCTGGTCTCATGGGGACCTAAGGAGGAAGCCAGCCAGGCTAAGGGGAAGGGCACACCTAGGAGCAGTCAGCATGGGCTTCTCCCCTGCCCACAAGGCCACCCCCAACACCCCAGAAAAGGACCTGCCCTCAAGGCTCCCAGGCTTAGCTTCCTGCGGATCCAACATAGATACTCCTTAGAATCAACAGAGGGAGGCTCCGGGCTAGGAATCTGACTGAAAATTGGAGTGGGTGGGGAGGGAGGACATGGTATCATTCTGACAGGATTCCTGTCCAGCACAAGGGAATCTATGCGAAGTGTCCAGAGGCACACACGGTGTCCAACATAAAAGACAGTCTGGCAAGGGAGTCAGCGGCTGAGGGATGGGCTGTGAGATAGGAAGTTATAGAATGATTTCACAGCGATCTCAGGGGGCCAGCAGGGGTGTGAGAGGCACCTCTGTGGACAGCGGATGTGAAGGAGCGGCTGCCAGGGCCCGCGGGCCACGACCCCACAGAAGCATCAGACGGGCACAGAACACCCACAGCGGGGGATCCCACCCCTGACTCTCACTGCAGCCAGGCAGATTCATCTCTGTTTATTTTTCAAAATGAAACTAAAAATTACCACTCAGTATTTGAGAAGAGTGCTTGATCACAGTTAAAAGCTTTATGGAATTGGAGCCAGAACATCACAGACCAGTGGTCAGAAACAGGAGCTTCCGGTATTGCTCACACAGGCCGCAGCAGTCGGAGATGGCTCCCACCGACTCCTTCCCTTTCAGCATCCACTGCTGGCCGCTGTGCATGGCTCCAGGCACGGCAGACGGCCAGCGTCGGTCTGCTGAGGTCGGCGGCATCCACAGATCAGAGGACATGTCAGCTGTCCCCTGGGCTTCTGATGTGACCATCCAGCACCTCCGTCCGCTGTGAGAGGTCCCGAAGCACCCACAGAGAAGGCAGGCAGGTCAAGGCCCTGGATAAAGACTGAAAGGCAGTGCTGGCTCTCCATCTTCACCTGGAAGGACGGGCTCCCTGCCTCAACCCTCCACGGTCAGCAGGTGGGAAAGTCGAGGTGGCGTCATCATCGCTCGTGCTTAATGTGAGCTTCGCTTCGCTCCACAGTGACCCCGTCCCCGTTCCGAGGGCCTTCCTTCTTGTTCCAGTCCTTCTCAGTGTAAAACTCGGCTAGCACAGGGCAGTGCTCAGATGCCACTCCGCCCCAGGACCAGTTATCTGGAATCCAAGGGTTAGTGAGGCCTTCTCTCACTACAGCCCAGTGACCTGAAGGGAGAGGGAAAGAGACCTAGCAGTCAGGCCGGGGCGGCTGGAGTCCCAGGCGGGCAGGGGAGGCCAGTGCTGGACATTTACAAGACTGAGTTTCCTGACAGCACTCCTCAGCCAGCTGGCTTGCCCATGCAAACGAAATATCTTGGCCAGTGTGATTTTCTGGACAAGTGAGGAGAAAGTTATAGAGCTTTTTGAGACAGGAAAGGTATTTTAAAAATGAAGGTTTAGAAATATAAGAAGTGGGAGGTACATTTGAAAAATAATGAAATTAATAGTTACCAAAGCAACTCTAGAGCAGTTAGAAAGCCCTGCACGGCCCTGGAAGAGGACAAGGTTGATGGAAGTGCGCAAGGCTGCGTTAGGCTTTGAACTGTGGCCCAGCGGACAGCTCCGGGGTGGTGTAACTCCTCCCTGCATCTCGGCTCCTACAGCTTAACAGCAAGACGGCAGGCAAAATGATTTCTAATGTCCCTCTGGCACTGTGTCCTGGCCCCCCGGCCCTCTGCGTGGGAGCCCTGCCCTCTGCCGGAGGCCTGGGCAGGCTGGGACTGGCCTTTCTCTGGCCAGCAGGACATTTCTACAAACTGTCTTGCCTAGTTTGGTAATTGTTTGTCCCCCTGAGACTCACTTTCTTTTTTCTGCACATCCTCCCTCGGCAGCCCAACAAGAAGCCAGTGCCCAGTGAGAATAGGGGAAGTTGGTGAGAGTCTGGGCCGGGGTCCTTATCCGGAGGCTCCCTGCCCTGGCCGCACGTTCGACACCTGCAGTGGTGCCCCAGGGTTGGTACTTCTGGCAATTTTAAATGTCTCACTGAAGTACAATATGTATCTGCTGGGACTCAGTAAAGCTCTCAGGCAGGATGGAGAACCAGTTCTTGTCTTTCATCAAAAGACCCTACTGTTGTTTCCGTATTTCTGACTAATTATTTCTCACCCAAAGTCTGCTCAGCAATTTGCTGGTGTGGGGCAGGGACTGCTTTTCCATGCTGCATTGCCCACCCCGTCCTGGTCCTCGTGGAGTCTGATTAAAGCACTTCTCCCAAGGTGTCGTGACATTCTGGGACACTTCTGCTCACCTGACTGCTGCTCCTTGGGGCACTGACAACTTATCCATAAACCTCAGGCCACAACACAGCACCTGAATGTGACAGCGCTAGAGGAATGTTTGCTGAATGACTAAATTACATAACGTTTTAGTCCCCTAAATTAGGGTTAGTCATTAGTACTTCTCAGGGCTCTGCTAAACTACAACCAGGTTTGCCTGGCACACACTCGGTTTGCCCCATGGTAGATCAGTGAATGCCTTTTAGTTATTTTCACACTTCCTTTCACCCTTAGAAGTGGCTGTTCAAGTGATAACCATATAGTCACCTAAATGATAACTCTATAAATGCCCACAGTGGAGGTAAGTTAATTCCTGACGGGAGTTATTGAACCCAATGATCCTGAACTATGAGTTCTGACAGGTGTCTCTTACTCCATTGCTGAATAGGAGAAAGAATGAATGGCATTTGCTTCACCTGTGAAAACCTTCTTTAGGCTTTTGCTGATCCAGATGTTGTCCAGAGACTTGGAGCCTTGGGGATTCTTGGTGCTGATGTTGGTGAAGGTGTGTGCAGCGATTAGGGGGTAGAATTTTTCTTTCCTCAAGATGTCATAGTCACTGCTGTCTGGGCCCTGGCCAAAATCCCCCAAAACAATCATATCTTTTTCTCCTGGAAGTGGAAGACAGAAATTAGGAAACTAAGAGGTGATGGGAAATAAACCCCACACTGACCACAACCCATTCCAGCGGGATATTGATCCTCTGACTCGACTCTCCAGGTTCAGGGCTGCAGGGTGGTTCTCATTCTCCCCATTTACCCAAATGCCTGTGCAAAAGAGCACCCCCCAAGTTATTTATTATTTTTCATTGAAGCATAGTTGTTACACAATATCAGATTGGTTTCAAGTATACCAAATAGTGATTCAACAGTTACCTATAATATTAAATCTTCACCCCAACTAGTGTGGTTACTACCTGTCAACATAGAAAGATGTTACAAATTATTGACTATACTCTCTGTGCTGTACTTCTATCCCCGTGACTGATTTATATTATGATTGAGATTTTGTGCCACTTTATCCCCTTCACCTATTTCACCCACCCACCCCAACCCCTCCCTCAGGGTAACCACCAGTCACTTCTCAGTGTCTGTGAGTCTGCTGCTGTACTGTTTTTTAGAGACCCCCTCCCCCCACAAAAACTTTAAAAGTTGGTAACACATTTGGAAATGGGAAGGATGTGATGCACAGATCACCCCTATTCCAGCTCATAGATTCCAAATCTCATAGTGGCAAAAGGCCTAAGGGTTTTACCCAGATATTTAACAGAAGTTCAACAAACACTTACTAGGCCACAGAAGGAAAACCATGCAAAGATATAAGGAGATGTTCATCTACAAGCCAAGGAGAGAGGCCTTAGAAGGAGGGCATCCCTCCCAACACCTTGATCTTGAACTTCTAGCTTCCAGAACTTGGAAGAAATAAATTTATGTTGTTTAAGCCACCCAGACTGTGGTATTTTGTCTGGCAGCCCTAGCGTACTAATTCAGGGTCAAAGTAGAAAGATTTTCCTCTATAAAGTATTTTCAACTTTTTCCTCATAGTTTGGTTTACACTCGAGTAATTAAGGTAGTTATGAAGCATTTTCCAAAGCAAGCAGATGTTCTGAACAGACAGTGGACCCCAGCTAGGCTCCATGATTCCCATTTTCTCTGCCCAACCATCACTTCCTGGCTTGAGGTTCCCTTCGGGGGATCCATGTTATCACAGGGAATAGCATTTCTGTCCCACCTTGGGTGGGAGGCTTTAAGGAATGCAGTTCAATAACAAGGGCCAAATATATCTGAGACACTCAGCAAACTTCTTCCTGGGGACATGAATGTGCTTCTATGACAATGGCTAGAGGGAAAGAACGCGAAAGTGAAATAACATAAGCTACCAGCAGAGGGCACTTGTGCGCTGCAGGTGATGCCCTCGTCTAGAGGACGTGAGGGACCAAGGATGGCCTTTCCTGCAGCTCCATTGTGTAGCCAACAGAGATGTAATCATACGCCTCAGGCTAGATGATAACAACCTTGGCACCCAAAGCAGGGCGAGCTTATCTTGAGAAATGAGTGCCAACATCCAATAGGAAAGCTGACTTGAGAATAATAATATTAACAACTCAAACCTGGCCAGTGTTCGTGACCATCCACTGAGCCCTCACCTTGCGCTGGGCCCTCTCTGCAGGTAAGAGGTTGACAGGCTCACCCAAACTCCCCGAGAAAACCCTGAAGTGCAGAGCTCTTAACAAAGAGCTAGAATGGAAGGGTCACAAGGACATGGGCAGCTGTGCACAGCAACCTGAGTGCCTGCTGGATGAAGCCACTGGACAGACACAGGTGCATAAACGGCTGAATGAGGAGGAATGAGGGAAACCTCAGAACTGAGGTGCAGTTTCGGTTTAAAAGGAAAGAAGAAAAGGATGCTGAATGTACCGAATATTAAGGAAAACTGAAGGTTTAAAACACTGCAGCAAAAGGTCCCCAAATAATGAGTGAGATTTTCACTGCGAGGCAGACCTAGAAAAGTTTGGGCCAAATAAAGACAATTCTGAAACCAGGAGAGATGCTGGTGTCAAGGGTCAATAAATCCAGCTCTGTGCAACTTCAGAATGGAAATGAGTCCCTTTTAAAAAAAATTAAGGTACCATTGTATACAATCTTATGAAGGTTTCACATGAGCAACACTGTGGTTACTCCATTCACCCATATTGTCAGTCCCTCCACCCCCACATTGCAGTCACTGTCCGTCAGCATAGTAAGATGCCATAGAGTCACTACTTGTCTTCTCCATGCTGTACTGCCTTCCCCGTGACCTACCTGTACTGTGAGTGCTGATGCCCCTTAATCCCCTTCTCCCTCCCTCCCCACCCCCCTCCCCCACCCCTCCCCTTTGGTAACTGCTAGTCCCTTCTTGGGAGTCTGTGAGTCTGCTGCTGTTTTGTTCCTTCAGTTTTGTTTTGTTGTTATACTCCACATATGAGTGATATCATTTGGTACTTGTCTTTCTCCACCAGGCTTAGGAAATAACAGTCACTTTTGACCGGGCATATCTGGGTTTCTTATAACTCATCTTCCTTCAGTTAAATTGGTGTAGATAGTGATGTCGGCATGGTCCTTGCCTCTGAGAATCCACAGGTGTGCTGGGGCCTGAATTCTCCTAGGAAGCCACCTGCCTAGGGTGGGGTCCACAGTCATTCCCTTAGTTCCCAGAAGTGAGGGGAGAATGTTTGGGGCTAAGTGCCTCAGATCGCCCCTAGATTTAAAAATGTCACTGACAATAGCAGGAGCCGGTCCCCTCTGAGGGATGGTCCTACCCCAGATCGCCCCTAGATTTAAAAATGTCACTGACAATAGCAGGAGCCGGTCCCCTCTGAGGGATGGTCCTACCCAGATGTCAAGCATCACTATGCGCCCCGTTTCACTTTGCTGAGTTCACAGAGCAAGGCCCCATGGGGTCTGAGAGGAGAAGGTTCCATCAGCACATTGGCACACTGTCCGATGATGCCAACCTGGATGCACATTCCAGACAAAGGCAGAAAGGCCCAGAGCGTGCTAACCAAACCGGTTCTGTTTGTTCTGATAAAAGCCTGTGGAAGAGAGGCTTAGTCTTTGTTGTAGCTGAACCACCTCTGCCAACTGATTTACCCCTGTGGCACTGTGGGCAGGCTGGGGCACTTCCGGAATCCTTGGGTCAGCTGTGTTACCAGTTAACAATTGGATATTAGTTTCAAGCAGGATGCAGGGCACATGAGTCACTGTCGAGACCGGGACATGTCAAGGCCGAGACAGACTATGGGTCGTTCCCTTGGCAGCTTGGAACGATCACCTGTCCAGGTTTTCTGATAAAAACCTGATAACTCCCTGCTCATCAGAAAAGGCAATGAGTGCCTAAGGTAACAGAAGTTAGGCACTGGCAGCTTTCCTTTCTGCTTCCATGTAAAAGCCTGAGATTGGTCATGGTAGTAATGTCCACAGATTTTAAAAGTTATTAAGTCATCCTTTTTAATAGGTTAGAGACTAACTGCAGGTGAGCAATTTCCCATATCACTGCTCCTTGCATGTATCATCTCAGCTTAAATACCTTTCTAAATTTTTTAGCTCAAAGATTCAAAATTGAAGTAGACTTGCACATCCTGGTTCAAAATGTAAGTTACATATCAACGTTCATAGCAGCATTATTCACAACAGCCAAAAGATGGAAACAACCCAAGTGGCATCTACTAGTGAATGGGTCAACAAATGTGTTTTTGTATACACACACAAACACACACAGAATTTCTTTCTTTTTTAAGGCCAAATACTATTTGTGTGTGTGTGTGTGTGTGTGTGTGTGTGTGTGTGTGTCTTAAAAAAGAAAGAAATTCTGACACATACTACAACATGGATGAACCATGTAGACAAAAGTGCTATAAACTAGCCACACAGGACCGTATGATCCCACGTACATGGGTATGACACCTAGAGCAGTCAGATTCACAGAGACGGGAAGAATGGAGGTTACCGGGGACTCCGGGGAGAGGGTAGTGGGGAACTAGTGTGTGATGGGCACAGTTTCAGCTCGGGAAGATGAAAACGTTTTGGAGATGGATGGAGGTGATGGTGCTCGAACAATGTGAGCATGCTTAATGTCACTGAACTATATTTAAAAATGTAGTAAGACAGAAATTTCATGTTATGTATATTTTACTACAATAAAAAATCTTTTTAAAACATACATTTATAGTTTCACCAAATTATTTTTGTCACGGATCCTTCATGAGTCACCCACTGTGAGGGGCCAGTTTAACGAGGAAAAGGCTTAGAGGGTGTTGGTCAAGACTCAAGAAGGTGGAAGAGAATTCCAGGCCTCCAGCTGTGAACCCTGCCCTAGAGAAGTCAGTGCTTCGGAAAACCAAGCCACACTGAACACATCCCGGTCTTTACGGCCTTGTCAACTTCTCCTTCTGAGAACACACCCAGAAAGCTCTGCAGTCGGGGGCAGGGTTGAGGAAATACAGAGCCCACCTTTCTTCTCAAGTTCTGTTCTTTTCACTTTAATTCCTCTGGTATTTGTTGACTTAACTCACGTCTGCGGAGTCTCTACCGCGCGCCTGGCCCTGGCACAGACATCAGGCAGCCCGAGACACCCCTGTGAGGTGAGCCCTGCCACGCCCCCGTCCCACGGGGTGTGGCCTAGGGTGACCTGCCGGGAGATCCCACAGCTACTCAGGGAGCTGAGGTGGAAATGCAGCTTGCAGGGGCACTTCCGGGCTCCTTCAGTGTGCTCTGCACCCCACCAGGGAGAAACACTCAACTCGCAGGTCAGAACCTTCCTGCTCACCTCGTCACCAACTGCCTCTCTTTCGCAAGAAGAGCACAAACAAATCCACAGGCACCCCCAATGGCACACCGGAGGCAGTGGGACCCAGAATGAACTGTCAAGGGGGAAGGCGTCATCGCTTGCTTTTTCCCCTAATCCTTTTCCATCAAAGTGAGGCTGAAGTGTCACAAAGCTGATAGCGTGAAACGTGCATGTTGGGCCACCAGAGACAAAGATGTCACCATGCATGGGGGTGACAGAGCTCCATAAGAGGCAGGGGCTGTCCTCCTATGCACTGCTGCTGACAGAACAGCAAGCCCAGGGGATCCAGACATGCTGGCAAGGGGCGAGCCCCTCCTGCCCTGTGGAGTGGGGGCTGTTGGCGCAGCCACCGAGACATTTCCTACCTTTCAGGGTCTCCTGCAAGGTTTGTGCAAAGCCAGCCAGGCGGAGGCTGTCACTGTGATTCTTGCTTGGATTCTCTCCTCCTGGGAAGGTCAGGGTCGCCAGGTGAAGGTTCACAATGGTCAGATCATTAGTTCCCACCTGGACGAGAGGAGACAAAGTAGCAGGGACAGGCTTAGATGTCATATTTCCTGTATTCTTTACCTCTGACTCATGAATAGCTTCAGGCTCAGTGTTGACAACGGGAAACACCAACGCACCAGGAGATTACGCAAGGTGATTCACCCTAAGATTTTTTCCGAGGGACCTGTAGGACTGAGACTATCTTGCTTCGTAAGTCCACCCCCTACATCACACCTCCTGCTCCTCCTCAGGGCCTGGAAAATTGGACACATCTGGAAATGTTAGGGTTTTTTTTTTCCTTCTATTTATATGAATATATTACATAGCACCAGCTGTTAAGAGACCTGGGGCTCTTCCCGGAAGGCTGGACTGCCATCCGTGGTCAGAACCTGCCTCCGGGACCTGCTTCCTTCCCCACTCCACCCCCTCCATCCTCCCCTACGCCTTAGTTTGCCTCTGGAGTCCACTGCACCCTGATGTTCACGCTCCCCTAGTTTCAGGTGGGTCACCAGGCGGTACACAACACACCCAGCCCTGCATCCCCAGGGCAGGCATGGTGCGTGCGGATGCGCAGACGTGGAGGCAGCTGGTCTCCTGACCGCCATGGCACAGCTCAGGCTTGGGGGTGGTGATCCCATCCCATCTGCATGGCAGCAAACACCAAGGATCGCTGGGAGGCCAGGGGCTGCTGGGGGAGCCGCTGGGAAGTGGAAGCTGCCAGTGTCCTCGTATGAAGACCCTGGTTTGCTGTCACCACCACCCACCGAGGGTGGTGGGGGGCATCTGCAGCAGCGGCTCTGACCACAGAGGAACCAACTGAGGCCAGGGGCAGGGAAACCCTGCCTGCAGGGCCTGGAGAGATAAGCCCTATATCTGTACTGCACCACTGCCTGGCCTAGAATGTGATACCATGTACCAGAGGCTGAGTGCCTGCCTGGGGGATCACTTCATTTATAGAAGATTTGGGCCAAAAATTCATGACATGGTGACATTTTCTCATTGGCCATTAAAAACAGCCTGCCTTTTAGAGTCACTGGCTGGTCCTGGCTGTTGCCCTGCTTGGCCACAGCTAGTAGAGCCATTCACGTAAAAAAGGGACCCAGTGAGGTATCAGGAGGTTTTAAAGATGATACCTGGCTGATTTACACACCAGTACCACAAGCACAACCCTGGCACCCTGGGGTGGGTGTGTCCACAGCACTGTGGCTGCCCGCAGATGCAGGTGTGAGAGCACATGAGCCTGGGCTGGGTCCCAGCCACAGCCACACAGCCCCCAGCTCACAGACCGCCCCACTCCCAGCTGGCAGGTCATGGCCCCAGCCCTGTGCTGCCAGGGGTTTCAGGTGCCAGCACAGCTCTGAAGCACACAGAAGGGGGACCCCAGTGCCCAGTGGTAGCTTGCTAGGCTCTGTGGCAAGAGACTGCTGTTGCCTGCCCCTGTGATTTCACAGGTAAGAGCCACGGGGGATATGGTCAATGGCCCCCTTGAGGATGTTCTGGCTGCCAGCTTCTCCTCCTTCCTGCTTCTGCCTGCTGCTCATTAGCACTTCCCTGGGACGTAGGGGACTGAGAAGCAGCTCAGAGCAGTCTGCTTGCCATCCCCAATCCACAAGCTGGCGAGGCCTCACCTGCAATGTCAGTTCCGGGCTGCCTGGCCCCAGGACCTCAAAGCTTCTCCTGAACCCTCTCTAAACCCGGCAAGCTCTTGAGGGTCCCCAGTCCCCTGGTAAGTCGAAGGGGACCTTGGAGCAGCCCTGCTGCTTCTAATCCAGTGGTTTCCTAGTGCCTGACCTTGTTAGCCAGCCCAGGGGGTCTGAGGAAGCCCTGAAGGTGCTTTTGACAAACAGACAGTCCTGAGCCTCTTCTGCAGAGCCTGCCTGTCTGGGGCTGGGTCCAGGGAGCCCTGATCTTAGGAAAACCTCAGGTGATTCTGATATGCACCAGGTTTGGGAGCCAACCACCCGATCTCCTTCCTGCTCAAATGTCAGAGTTATCTGAGCTGGAGACCCCCCAAACTCCTCTTGTTCCTGCCCTGGACAAGTTCACCAGCCAAGGGAACCCCAGGGGTGTGTGCTGACCCAACCCTGAAAAAGAATAAAATCAAGGCAAAAGATGAGGCTTCTCTGGCTCAGAGCTAAAGAAGGGACTTTTTTCCATTTTAGAAGAAGTGGACCTTCATGGGGACAAGGAGCAGGTACCTTGAACCATGCAAAGTACGGGCTGGGACCCGTGGGCTTCCCGTGCCCATTGCCAGGTGAGCACTCCTGCGCGGTGGCATCTCTCAGCTCCACCCCAGCCGCCGTGTCCCACAGGAATCCTGAGAACCCAGCCCCCTGCAGGAGAAGAGGCAGTGTCAGTTTGGAGAGGGTCAGTCCTGGCGCGCTCAGCCCCAAGCTGGGCAAGAGGCAGGAGAGGCCAGGAGGAGGTTGGGGGAAGCAGCAGGCTCTGACTAGATCCTGAGATTACGTGTATGGGGCTGTTTGTGGGCCTAAAGTGCACCCTGAAAGCCACAGCGCATTCTTCCTGTCCTCCACCCAACAACCAGATTTCCCACACTAAAAATTTCAGAGCTTTATGCCAGCAAGGGGTCGGCGCTCTTCTCTTTTTGGGGCTGGGGTGTGAGGAAGCCCAGACTAGGCATGGAGCTTTCTTTTTAACCATCACATCCCATGAGATAGCCAGTCATACCCTCATCTTCCAGAGGCAGCTCAGCTACTCAGAGAAGTTAAGCAACTTCCCTAAAACCCCACAGCCATGCTGAGAATGAAATATAAGACTTCAGAGCATAGGTTTTGCTTACATCAACCAGTGCCTAGCACTTAGTAATACTCAATAAACATTTGCTGGATGAATGGAAGTCAGAGCTAACAATCCAGTGGTTTGGAATGGGTTAGGGGTGCTCTGCAGGTGCACAGGGCCCACACAGGGATCTGAAGCCCAGCTCAGGGCCCTATGAAGGCCAGCAGACAGACAGGGTGGTGTGGGCAGGGGCCTGTTGCCAAACCCCTGCCATCACCAGCAGTCAGAGGGCTGCTCTGAATCTGTCTGCTTTGTGCTGCTGTCACTGGGCACCTTCCGGAAGGAGGAAAAGCTTCCCTGCCCACCTCGTCCTAGCCTCTGGAGGCTCGGCTGCCCTGGCGGATCAGTGGTGTCATCCGAGCGGCCAGTGATGCTCATTGCAAAAGAAGAGGAAGTGACTTTGCACAACCTGTGGCCTCCGCCTAGTTCCCAAGTCCAGCTGGGGTCCCAGCCACATGCCTTGCTGGGCTCAGCCCCTTGACTCACTGGGCATGTGTTGAGGAGCAGGGAAGGAGCCAGCAGGGGACAGTGTTCTGCAGGCTGTGCACTTTTATATTTCACAGCAATCAACCGGCCCGCCCCCTGGAGAGGCCACTAGTTTGAGAACTGGGAGACCTGGCTCTCAGTCCCACCCGGGTCTCTTAGCTGTGGGACCTCAGATGAGCCATGACATTCACCTAAGCTTGTTTCCTCAGGTGTAAAGTGAAGGAAATATGATTTGCTTTGCAAGCTTTGGGGGTTACCCTCATTTCCTGTTTCCCACACAGTGGTGCCAGGGAACTTCCGTAAGTACCACTCAGGTCACCTTCTGCTTCAAAACACTCAGTGGCTCCCCTGCCCACGGCCTGAGGAGCCCTCTAGGTTGGCAGCCTCCTGCTCAACACTGCCTTTCACACCTGCTCACACGTTCCCAGCAGGACTGAGCCTTGCAGGCCTCTGCACTTCTTTGCGTGCTCTTCCTTCCACCACTGCTGTCCTCCACCCTCCTGGGAGCCTTCCCACAACCCCGGACTCAGGTGGGACCCCTCGTCCAGAAGCCCAGCTGCACCTCAGTGTGGGCCGGCAGGAGGAGGTCAGGCCTCCTAGCCGGAGTCTGCTAGCTGGGCTCGGCCTGAGCCCCACCCGGCGGCAGCTGGATGACTTCTGGGCAAAGCATTTCATCCTAGCAGATCTCAGTTTTCTCAGCTGCAGACCTCCCCTCTAGCTGAGGGGTGGAGGACTCGGGAACTGAACAGGAGGCACCTGGGTGTCATTTCAAGAGCTGGAGAAATGGCCGTTGCTGCCACCACGCCGTCAGGGTCGGACTGAACATGTGTGATTTGCACATACACTTTGTTATACCAGTGTTTACATTTTTTTAAAATTACTGGCTCACGTTTAACATTCAGGATATTTCACATTAAAATCTAGAGATTTACATCTTTTGAGAGACCTGGAGACTTGTCCACACTGAGCCACAACACACCGTGGCAACAGCAGGCTACCAGGGACCCAGCTGCAGCCTGACATGGGCATGAGCTCCCAGCTAACAGCCTGGCCAGCCTGCTGCCTCCTATGTACCTGCCAGACCCTGACCTGTGCTCTGTTCATGAAGCAGCCAGTGCACATTATTGTTTAAAAGTTCTACCACTACCCTGTGAGTGAAGAAAGGGGCTGTTGCTCCCATTTTACAGATGAAGGAACTGAGGTTGAGAGTTTAAGCAGCAGGACCATGGGCCTCCCTGCGATGGCACATTGTTCTCAGTGGCCTTGGCACCCGGCCTGGAGTAAGGTTAGGCACCTTGTGCCTTCAGCAGGCTGGGAGCTCCCTGAGGGAGGGGACCCATCAGGCTCATGTTAGGATTCTCTCTTGCAAAGAGTAAAATAGTAGCTCTGGGTGTGTGGGTGTGTGGATCTGTTTCACGAATGTGTATCTGGCATGTAACTTTTCTAATGATTTACTGAATAGTGTTAAATGGACTGTAAGAGCTTTGTGAACCTATATAAACAGCTATTTCTTTAAAAAATAGCAAGGTGGTATTGTTTCTGTGTGGACTGAGAGGGGAGAGCCATGGGCCTAGAGGGGTGAAGACTAGATAAATTCCAATTCACCTTAATTTCCCGACTACTGGGAACATATGCTGGTTGTCACCTGTAGCAACCATTTATGCTCTAAAACATAAAACCTGGAGAAATAATATATCACATTTTCAACTAGTAGCTAAATAGAGAGCTGTCAATATACTTTTAATCCAGTATACATTTATAAGTTAAAAGCCCCAAATCTTAGTATCACTCTTCTAAGTGCTATTCATGTGTGTTTATAAGCATATCAGGTATATACCAGAAATTTAAAAAAATATAACATCTGGTATTTACAGGAAAATTACATAAGAATCCAGTTCTAAGTCATGATTAACTATCAGAAGTCTATTTTAAAACATAAAACTCCACTGGCATTGGACATTCCAAGTGAGTAAAAATTGGTCTTGAGTAAGAAATGTAAGAGTAAAAATGTACATCTACTGAGATTTACCCACAGCTATATGGGTTCTACCTAATGAAGAAAATTCAAAATTAAAATCTGCTGACAATTTCAGACTAGTTCCATGTGCATGATTTCTACCACTGAAAGCAAACACTTTATATAGGAGTTAAGTGAATCTGAAGTTTTCAGTGAACAATGGGCCGTCCACAAGGTCGGCAGAGGTCAGAGTGTGGAGAAGGATTATGAGGACAAAGGACAGAAACACCCCGATGCTGTTCTGGCTCCAGACAGGATTTCTCCTCTCTTCCCACACCCCAAACCCCCATTTCCATCTGGGCAGCAGTCCAGTCCTGATCTAAACACGAAACGAGAACCAGGGCATTTTGGAATGAATGGCAAAGAGCTAAAAAAAAAAAGAGGGCAGAAATACAAAATTGCATTAAGAATGCTGGCAAAGGAAAATTTTAAATGTCTATGATTAGGGAAGGATGTTTCAATAACATTGAAAGAAAATCCAAGTTTCGCAGATGAGGGTACCTTCTGGAGCTGAGTGGAGGGTGTCTCCGCAACGATGGCTTTCCAGCATCCCCGGGGCCCCCTCCATTTGCGCATGTTGGGCAGGATCGGTTGGTTTAGTTCAGCACAGAACTGCAAAGACAGAGCACAAGTCTATGTGTGTGTTCCCACCTAACAGTTCCCACTGGTAGCAGCCTGAGGAGCCAGAAAGTGCTAGATCCTGACTCATCAGCAGAATTCAAATGTATTCAGAACTGTCAGATTTCTGTGTTCTCAAAAGCCAAGGTTTACAAAGGCCTAGATGACTAAAAAAGCCCACAAATTAAAAAGCAAATTACCTATGAAATGCACAATTATCACCTGGTGACTCTCAGTTCATAAAAATCAATTCTTTTTGTACCACTGGAGCACAAATAATTCAAAATGACTTTTCAGAATCCTTTTCCTTGATAAAACCAGTGGCTTCAAGGTCCCAGAAGAGTCTAGGTCAATATCAAATGCAGAGGAGAAAAATGAATGCATGGGGTGTCTTCTCCCTACGGCTTAGCTTGGAGGTGCAAAAACTAAGCCTCCGCTTCATCTGGGACCATTTTACCCTTTGGTTTTCTTTGGAGAAGAAGGTGCTACTGTCACGGTGGCTGCAAAGCCCTATGCGGTTTGCAGGGTACGCTTCTTTTCGCTTAGGCACGGGAGCTGCAAAACGACTTTATCACTAAGACAAAGACATTGCAAAGTAAAATGAGGGGTTGAAAAAGTATGGACTTCAAAGCATGTGACCAATTTCTCTAACTCACGCCTCAAACACAACCCTGTTGCTTCCTTTAAAGGACATCCGAAATTTTTAGATTTGGGCTCAGTGTCTGTGGTATTTCCACATGTGGCCCTGCCCCTTCCTGGTGACACCCTCTTGTCTCTTTGCATCATGCCCCTCGGAGAGCTCCACTCATCTCTCTGTCTCCATCCCACCCCACAAGCAAGCCATGTGACTTCCTTCCAGGCACATCACTGCTCTCCCTTCAATGAGCTGCCCTTAACTAATCTTAGTCCCGGTTTCCACCTATACCTCTATTTCAAAGGCCCCCGAATCTGTGCCTTCAGGCAGAGTTCTCTCCTGACTTTTGAAATTGTATTTCGACTGCCTTTTTCACATTTCCATCTGAAAGTCTCCTGAGAACCACAAACCCAGTGGTTCCCAAAGGAACATGCCTTTGCCTTCCCCCCACCCATGCCCAGGTCACTTCCCAGCGTTTCCATCCTTCCAATGGCTCTGACTCTTTCCTCCCACATCCCATCTGTCACCTGGCCCAGCCTGTCCACTGTCAGTATTGCACATGTCCAGAGCTCCCTCAGTTTGTTCTCCAAGTCCACTGCTGTGGCCTGATTCAGGGCCTCATCTTCCCTCACCTGGTCACCGGCAGAGCTTTTAAGAAGTCCCCGTCTCTCTGTCACCTGACCACCCTCCATCTGTCCTCTGGGCACATTGTGATGGCTATGCTGACACATTACCCCTGTGCTTCTCAAAGTGGTTCTGGGGTCCAGGAGTAACACCACCTCCTGGGAACCTGTTAGAACTACTCTGGCCTCCAACCTAGACCTACCAGGTCAGAGATTCTAGGGTAAGGCACGGCAATCTATGTTTTAACAAGCCCTCGAGGTGATTCTTATGCCTGTTAAAGCCCGAGGACCCCTGCAGCTGCCCAGACCCTCCCTTGGTATCTGTGCCCAGTTTGGGCAGCACTGCAGCCAGCCAGCCAGCCATCAGCTGGCAGCCCCCTCCAGGGACCTCAGCTGCCCAGAGAGATGCCAGGATCCAGCCTGCTCTTTGCCCTAGTACTCAGCCAATCATTTCTATAGTGACAAGAGCCAGGGAGAAAATAATGCCAGGCAAGGGAGGGCATGTGCCAGGAGGTCTGCTCCAGATGTGCGCTCTTCTAGGACCTATGCTGCTTTTACAGTTAGACGCGTAAGCGTCTGCCCTTCCCAACAGCAGGTGCCATAGTGCAGGACTGTAGATGAGTCACCTCTACAAAGCCCACCTGGTGCAGATCCCAGCAATCAGTGATGCTCTCCAGGCATCTGCTGGTGAACCAGCAACTCCAGGGAAGCCAACACTCCTCAATTCCACATATGACAAACAAAAGGGGGAATTTCTCCTTGAGGCTAATTATCTAAATAATTGCCTCCCTTTTAACCTGACTTGGAGTTTGCCTGGGAAGGGTTCTCTGTGGGACCCGGTCATCAGGGCTCCTTCGGTTCGCCTTTCAATACTGCCCCGTGCCAGACGGCCGTGCTCACTGCGGTTCCTGACGGGGGCCTCACTCAGGTGAATCCCCCTGGCCCGAGGGACCTGGCTGGAAGCCATCCTTGGATGGGAAATGAAACACTTTGGAAAATGCAGCCAAAATTTATTGACTATAACTGTGGGGATCCAGCGAGGAAATGTACTTCCCAAATGGTCCAATTTCCTGCCAGGGAATCATTTCCTTGCTGAATGATCATTAGAGCTGAATCCAAGAATCATTAAAAAGAAGAGCAGCTCTCCAATGCCCATCTGGTGCCTTAGTGTTCTCCACTCAGGGCTTCCCGAAACTGGCTGCTCACCCAAATCTCCTAGGATGCACCCCAAGAGGCTCTATTTTTAAAAAGGCCCCCAGGTGATTAGCCAGCCACGAGATGAGAGCCCCAGGCTCTGGGGGGGCTGCTGCCTGTGTTGGGGGAACTGTCTGTAGGCAGCTGGCAATCTCTTCTCTCCCAACCATCACTGTACCTTCAGATACCTGCAGACAGAAGGCTCTCCTGTTTACACTGCAAACCCCAGCCCAACTTACACATCACCATTCCTGACAATGCCACCTTGATGGGAAGGGTCAGAAGTGTGAGGAGATGGCACAGGCTGGCCTTGTTCTCCATGCCCACTGCTCTCAAGGATGGTCTTCTGGGACTAAAGGTGTGCCAGTCACAGTGTGGTCATCAGTATCATTGGGGAACTTGTTAAACATGCAAATTTTCAGGCCCCAACCTGACCTGCTGAATCAGAATCTCTGGGCCAGGCCCGGCAATCTGCATTTGAACTGCCCCTCCAGGTGACTCTGACACAAGTTTACAGTTGGTGTCGGATAAAAAAAGACATTCTCCTTTTTCTTTGTTTTATAATTTAAAGCCTTTCCCTCACAGGTAAACCCTAAGAGGCCCAGGGAACCATACTTCCTAAACCCTGAGGCCTCCTGTAGTTTGCACGTCTGAAACCTTGTTCTTGATACCATCTCTCAGCCCACAGAGTACATCTCCCTCTCTCTGCCCTCTTTGGTATTTATATTACTGGAGACAATTAATAGTTTAAGGGACCAGGGAGAAAAGTGTCTATGGCTGAAAGCATTCTATGCCCAAATTTTCATGATCAGTATTAGGTAAGTTCTAGGACTACCAGCTAGTTGACTTGGTTGACTGTTTGCACTAACAGTTCACAGCAAACCTAAGGAGTGGAGTGCCTCTTAGATCCTTGCTACTCAGTGTGTGTTCTATGGACCAGCAGCAGAGCCCTCCCCTGGGAGTCTATGAGAAATTCAAGGCTGGAGGCCCACCCCAGACCTACAGAATTGTCATCTGCATTTTCACAGGATCCCAAGGTCATTTAGAAGCTCAGCAGGCTTTGAGCAGCCTGCCTCAGGCACTTCCTGTTTTGTACACATCATCTCTAGTACTCAACCTCCGCCCCGCCCCTCTACCCTCCATCCTACCACCACCCCGACAGTCCACATGGGCAGACACCCTGCCAGTTATTCATGAGTGGACTGCAGTGTGGAAACATTAAGCCCAAATTTGAGCTTACGTTCAAGGTTACACCCTGATAAGTGTTAGAGGGAGGGTCTGAACTGAGGGCTGTCCACTTCCTGGTCCAGACAGGTGCAACAGGTGGAGAGGGGCAGGCTGCAAGTGGAGGCCTGCCCACGTTTACTGAAGCCTTAGATCTTTTCTCCTAAACATTTCAGAGGAAAGCAGATGCATCCTCTGAGAGCCCCCAATATTAATTCTGCCTTTAGCTGAAAAAGGAACAGTTCTATTTAGAACAGTTGGTTCTCAAATTTTTCAGTTTGCCCACATACCAGAAGGAAGAAATAATACTCTCATTAAGTAAAGGTGGCTCACCAGGGCAGAAAGGGAAAGAAGAAGGTTTGTTTGGAAAAAAGTCTTCCCGGGTAACAGTGATCTATACAACCCAAACACTAACACCCCCAACCAGTGGTTCTAAAATCCCAGGGGCTAACCCATTACCTGCTTCATCAGAATTACACTGGTTCTTGTTTTTAAAACCACAGATGTGTGGACCCTGTCCCTGAATGAATTGGAATCTCTGAGGTAAAGGGCCATGGTGTAAACTTTCAACATGTTGCCCAAGCAATCTTAAACTAAAGTTTGAGAAGCTCAGATGAGGCTAGACAACTGCTGATTTAGAACTCAGCCTTCATATTTTTCATACCCATGATCTGGAAAGACAGCTTTTATTACTCAGAACAAACAAATACCATTACAGCTCTCACACCCAACAGCTTGCAAGCATCTTACTGTGGCCTTTGCAGCTAACTCTGTGAGCTAGCACACGAAGGGAGCCTGGCCCCAGCAGGCATGCACCAGCTATTTAATGAGTGAATGAATTAAAGGGATATCTCCTGAAGATCCTGCCTGCGGCTTCTCTATCCCAGGAAAAGTTATAAGAACTGCCATGGACTAGACTTGTTTTTCCAGCTTCAGACCAAATATCTCTGGTCTGACAGCTCTTCAGATGGCAGAACATGTGATCATGGACACCAAACCCAGCCAACACTTCTGCTTAGCAATAGGGGGCATCAAAGTCAGACATTTAAATTCTAATCTGCAAGCTGTCCAAGGTTCTGGCATTTAGGAATGAAGAAGACTCGCTTAGCTATGCTTAGGCTACACTGCACTTGTGGGTCTGCCCGGGCCAGCTAACTGCTTGTCTCTGCAGTGGCAAGAGGGTTCCAGGGCTTGAGAACAAGGCTTATAGACCTTTAACCTTTTTTCTTTCCGCCCTCCCCCTTTTCTGAAATGAATATTCCTTAATTTATCAGGTCTTGATTGGGAAATAAAAATAGAAAAGGCATTCCAACCTCACT